TTGAACTGGTGTGAAATGCTCTTTGTTTCCCTTTTCTTTTATATCCTTTTCAGCCGAGTCCAGTGAGAGTGTTTCCAAAGACATTATGATCTCTGTATACGAAGTCCTGACAAACGTTGTATTTCAACTGTTGGAATTATCAATTATCAGATCTTTCAATTCCTGAAAATCCTTATTCATATACTGAATGCAATGTTCATCAGTAACTTACAGACACCCGTCATTATTTCTAAACTTAAAACATCACTCTGAATGTGACGGTCATCCATAACGTACAATTATATAGGACAAGAAATAAATGAATCCGTTGAGGTTGTCTTAAATGTTTTTATGATCAATGAGAAACCCGACTTGTTTGGAAATGCATCATTTAGTGTGAATAAATGGACAATGATATAGAAATAGTAATTCTATATCTGTAAATTATGAAATTAGATATTGATCAGCCTATTATGAATTATGAAGGAAATGTACATTAATTAATGAGCTTCTGAAGGCACTAAAATATACGAGCTCATTGAATTTTATTGATCAATTTCAGTAATTGAAAGCACGTAAGTTTTGATGGATTAAATGGATTGAAAACTAGGTCTTGTTATAAAAAGGCCTCAGTTTTTAATATTTTAAAAAACTTTTCTTAGACATTGTTTAGTTTAAGCAAATAGTGTTACAATTAAAAAGTATTGTATCGACTTTTTTCTTCATATGAAAGACAATAATAAGAAATAAGGCTTACTGCTAGTAAAAAAAAATATTTTTTAAAAACTTTCCTTAAAGATTTGTTTAGTTTAAGCAAATGGGGTTACAATTAAAAAGTAAGCTATCGACTTTTTTCTCCATATGAAAGACAATTATAAGAAATTATATTAGTTGCTAGTAAAAAAAAAATCTACAAAATATTTCTGTAAATTTTTCACTCTTTGATCAGATCATATTTTTTCGTATGTTCATGAAATTCCATAGGAATGCGAAACCTCTTAATGATGAGAACGTTTGCTTCTTGCTTTCAGGATGAGTACTCCAGGACTGTGCATGGTTGGTCATCACTTGCAATGAAAAGAAACGATACTTTATCCTAGGTATTTTGTAGGCAAATAGAATGTGAAGTGCATGTTCCTTAGATTCAAGGTTCAGGCTCTGAGGTGGAGATACTTTATTGTACATTAAAATTCGTCATATCTTTGAAATTTTTCTTTTCTTTTGGACATCTAGCAAATTACTTACTGCCCATAAGACATTTTGCGTATAGAGCAGTATCGAAGTCTCTCCTCCCTTCTCTGTCACTGACTAGCTTTTAGAATAGCTACAACTTTTTATTTCGGTCTACGCTGTTCCTCGCCAGGCGACTTTTCCGTTTTCACTCTAGTGTCCAAAAGAACAGTCTTGGTGATGCTGTGTCCCTTCTCACCACTTGGCCAAACCATTCCATCGTGGCCTTGTCTTCTTGTTTGCACCTGTTAAGAAGGTTCTTGTTTGAGATGGTATTTTAATAGCTAAATCATTCTAAGGATCCTACTCCGGGACTTTCTTGTATTATTTCAGTTTTGTCCAGATGATCTCTGATTCACTTGCAGCTAGGTTCTTAAAAGCTGCTTTTGTCTATAAGAGTCTCTGTTTGGTATTCGTCTCTGCTCCGTAGTGCGTTGTTATTTTACTTCCTCAAAAGTGTAGGTTTAACACTTGAGAGGATGTGATTTTCTACTGTGACCACTGGTGGGTCGTTTACATTCATTGTCAATGAGAAACTCCTGCATCTTTTTTAATATCAACATCAGAGTACTTGTGTGTAGAATCAGAATGTTTTAATAGAGTAATTTTGTAGGTGACGGATCACAAGATATGAAAATTTCCTACTTTCATTTTTACATGTATTGAGAAACTATTTGTCTATGATGTCAAAAATTCTTATCTTTGATTTACCGTGAGTAATAGTTGCATAAAGTGTTGAAAAGTCTCATGTTTTGATGTTATTGATTTTGGAAAGGTTTTGCAAATTTTCCAAGAGTTCTTCTGAGTTTTTGATATCCACATTTGATTTACACCACTTCTCCTTGATAAGTTGTAGCACAGTATGTACGTCTGAAGTTTCTCCTTCACCTGCAGCAGTTAATATTTTGTGAGGAGTAAAGAATAAGGCTTGGTAGAACCCTGCAATACATCTTTGTTTGTAAGGATTTTTATGAAGTTTTTGGAATCAAGTATAGGTACCGCAGATCAAATTCACTTCCACTGACTGAAATGTTAAAAGTAATTAAAACTCTAAAGCATCTGATATTAATGTAGAATTTTTAATGAAGTCTTTTAGAAGTTGCAGGATGCCATATGATCGAACAATTTACCATAGACTGTCTCTATGAAAACTGTGAAAGACTTTTTTTTAATATCATCATCTACAAGAAATTATTTCATGTATACAACTACCTTTGCCATTCTGTGTACTGTTCTACGATATATTTTATCAGTATATCCTCGCCCTGGCCTTAACTTTACCCATATTTCTGGCGGTATCTCATCTTCAGAGATGGGAAATCAGACTTCTAATACTCAGTCTGATTTTGACCATGATCATACATGTATTTTGAATGGAAAAATGTGTTATACCTTTCCAATAAGTAGTTGCAGTCGTTCAGGTTGTCTTACTTTGGTATTTTAATGACGTCTGTCTTTTTTGGTGTTGCTTCCCCAAATGGCATGGAAAATTAGCGGTAAAATAGTGCCCTGCAAGAAATGGATCCCTTTTAATGAGTTCAGCATTAATAGTCATCATTTCGATGAGCTTTGCCGTGTTTCAAAGCTCTTCTACTGCAGAGACAATTTCTTGAATTTAGTGTTATAATTAAGTCTGCCTCTTAATTCATCTCATGTTTTAAGCTGAAAAGGGTTCGTTTAAAATTTACAAAATTATTCTGTCCATCGTTTCTCTTGCTCTTTCTCTGAGGACAGTAGTTTTCCACTCGTATCTTTGACTGGTATGTTTGGAAATGGTCTATTCCTGTCATACACTGCCTTTGTAAAGGCTTCCTTGCTCTCTGTTGGCTGCCTCTTCGGCTTTTTTTGCTTGGGCATCTTTCTAAGCTTTCTTATAGGCGCGTCATGCCTTTCTTACTTCCTTTCGCATGTCAGTGTATTCCTACATTGCAAGTCTCACAGATTTTGCCTCGTTTAATTTCTTCTTGATATCTCCTAGTGAGCCAGTCATCGTCCGTGTTCTGGGTATTACCTAGTCTCTGCTACTTTTCATTTGCCTATTTCCAACACAATTATGACCAGACTCGGAGTAGATGTTACAAGTCTTTTCTCATTTCCCGACGATTGATGCTATGATGTTCTCTGATTCTGTGACTTACACTTGTCAAACATATTTCTAAGTTTGTTCATTCCAAATCTCTCTCTCTCTCTCTCTCTCTCTCTCTCTCTCGGTATGTTCTTTCCCACTTGGTACACAGTTTAAGTTTGATCTCTGTTGTTACAATGTGGTGATCACTGTCAGCATTAGTACCTCTCTTTATCCTCATATCCAGTAAAGATCGCCTCCATTTTGAGTCATTATGACGGGATCACTCTCATATTTGGGAAATGACGTAAATTTATGATTGTTTTAATGGGATAATAGTGTCCTTTCAATTACATGGTTGTTGATGGTACAAAACCTGCTAGTATTTTCCTGTTTTCATTCCTCTAGCAAATTACCTCTCTCTAAAAATTATGAGGATCAAAAACTCTGGATTCAAGCTCTATGGTTAGGGATATTTTTCATTATGTCTTTGAAATTCTTCTTTCCTCCTGGACATTATCAAGCAAACTGTAGGAATTATGACAATGAGCTACGGGCCCATTGATAAATACTAGCAGGAATTTTTGTCCCAGGGTTCAGGCCTCAGGGTTAGACTCTAAGTTGATCATATAATCAACATTATATCATTCAAATCTGTCCTCTTTTGGCATCTTTGTAATTTCTCTCTACATGTATACAGTGTATCATCTTTTGAAATAAAAAAAAATTATGGAGCACATGCAGTTATTAAAACAGAATACAAATGAAAAACTTTATAACATTTAATAGCATTTGGCTAATACATAATTAATAAAACTGAATGTAACTTTTAAGTAGCATATCATGGAAAAAACCAATAATGTGTCGACCATTTCAATATTTCTGATTTTGAACAATTAATCATTTACACTAACAAAACAAAGCCAGCCACTCCTCTCTATTATAAATTTTGATATGATAATAAAACATTCATAGAGATATATGATCTGAATTATTAGACAAAGACTTCAATGTAGATCATGAAGTTTATAAAATGATGTATTGTAAAGCAATGTAAATGAAATTTTTTCAAGTTTTTATGTAATGATTGTCGAAAAAGAAATCTGTCAAATAATTTCAACTAACTGATAAATGCAATATATTTTTTTTTATCTGATTAATGTGAATTAGATGAGAAATATAATCAAATAAATCACTCTGACAACTGCAAAGAATGTCACAAATGGTTTTTGTTTAAATATTTTTTCAGCAATTTAGCATAAATTTTATGAAGTGCATTTCTAAATGGGCTAGATTACATGTCCATAAAAAGACATTATTGGTGTACTTAATTTAGCAGAAACTGCTTTCCTCCAAAGGCATTAAATAGAACACACAATGAAGTGTTATACATTTACAGTAGACTCATTTGACCATATATTTATAATTCAGAAAAACAAAGTTATTCTAAGTAGATATGTACATGTACGTATAAATATATAAATATATCAAATAGAGTGACATGTACCTGTTTGGTATGCATAATTTTGGAAGTTTAAGTTTTTATGGAATGTGATTTCTGAAATAAACATCAATGCAGTCAAGTGCCTTTTTTTCCTTACATGTATATTCAAAAATAAATATTCAAAATTTAATCACAGTAGGAAAATTTACGTACAATATCACTGGTTGAGTAATAAGTGATCAGAGGAAAAAATAAGATTAACATAGAAAAGTAGATATTAAATACAAAAATCCTGACTACATGTTAAACATAAATTTGAAAAATTAGTTACACTTGAATGATTAACTGTAAACTTATTGTACAGGTGCATATTATAACATAAATGAATATACAATAAAGTAACATTTTTCAATAATTTCTATGAGCTTATTAAATCTGATAAAACAGAGACTGGTAAGAAGTAAGATTCTATTAAGTAGTTCATTAATACAATTTATTGATAAATATAATGCTAACAAATTTAATAACAATTCATATTGCTAAGGCACATTGCTATTATCACAACCAACTATTCTCTATAGCACCCAAATTTGTTGGTCTTACATTCAACTTTTCTTCAACAATGAATGAACATTACAGCTCTCCTTGGAATCTGTCCTCCACCTTTTTCCCATGTTCTTCGATCAGATAGTCCATGTAACCTACTACTGGGTATTTTTTCCTGTATGTCTCCAGGAAGACTTTATCGAGTCCTTCTAGTTCATGGTCAGATAGAGAGCTCTGTTGAAATAAAAAAAAAAGTCATTTACAGTTTTAAACCAAGAAAAACTGCTGACTCTACTTCTAAATTTGAGAAAAATTACAAATTATTTTGAATTAGAACACATGCTATAATTTTTGGACAAACGTGTATCATGCAAAAATAAAATCCACATCCTTACCAAAGGTAATCAGTACATGTACAGTATAGTAGGATTCTCACAATAAATGTAGCTTAAAATTTCACATCTCTTTTATACTTCTGTCTTTTACATTACATTTTTAAATACAGCATGTGCATGTTTTGACATATAACTCAATTTAAAAAAAAAATTACCAGGTCATGATGCATGTCTTTCTCCTCTAATGACCATTTAGCTATTGCATAACTTGCATCTTTAGCAGCAAGAATGGAATATCCTGCACCTTTACCATAAAAATCTAGAACAAAAAAAAGGTAACCAATTAATGAAAACACAAATGTGGCATATATGTACAAGATTCATTAGCATATGGATGAGAACAATGATTAAATAACTAAAGAGTTAACAAAATTTTAATTAACAAAAGCTTTGCCTAAATAATAATTACTCTTTTTATTGTACTGAGATATAAACCAGAAGTCTCTGATGAGATGTAGCTCTACTGGTTTGTACTTATAACAAAGAAAAAGTAGCACTTGCACTTGAAAATATGCAAAAAATAGATCAGTGATTTTTGGTTAAGTTTCTTTTTGTGGCAAGATTTATTGCAATCAAACTAAAACTGTTGGAGGAGCAGCCTTTTGACATAATTTCACAGAAATTTATATTCTTAGTAACCATGGTAAGACCATCAAAATTAAAAAAAACAATAAACAGAATAATGTATCTCATTGTAGACTACTTGTGTGCCAAGTTATATTGAAATCAGATTCAAACTGTAGTATGAGTAGTGTTTTGAAAGTATTCACAGAAATTTCTGTTTTTAGTAACCATGGCAATAACGCTCACCAAAATTAAAAAAAAAAATAAAGAGAATTATGTATCTTAGTGTAGTTTACTTGTGTGCCAAGTAATATTGAAATCAGACTACAACTGCACGAGAAGTAGCTTTTTGAAAGTATTTCACAGAAATTTCTATCTTTAGTAACCATGGCAACACCACTCACCAAAATCAAAAACTGATGCACAGAATTATGTATCTAAGAGTAGTCTACTTGTGTGCAGACCAAAACTGTAGGAAGAGTAGCATTTTGAAAAATTGTTTACAGACAAACCGACAGATGGACACCTAGACAGATGGATGGATGATGGGCATCTAACTAATCGCATAAACTCTACTGGTCTCTAACCAGTAGAGCTAAGAAATTAGTTGTGGATTTGGAATGTTCTATATTCTAATAACTCTCTACAGTGGCATAAATATCAATTGACTTAAGTTAGATACCTAATCATGAGTAACCCTCACTTGAACAATTTTATTGTCAGACTCAATTGCAACTATGCCCAATAAGAAACTTGAAGGATTTGTGCATTGTGCAAATTGACTTAAATAGAACTTGACCGCTAAACTCAGATTGGTAAGAAGTCAGATTCCTTGCTATCTGTGAGAGAATTTAAAATGTAGAATCCTAAAAACAGAGCAATACGTGTATCCTGTACTCTGTCTGGAAACAGATATTACCTTTTCCTGATGAAACATCAAAAACCACCCCTCGAACTGCCATCAAAAGAGGTTTTGAGGACTGCAAAATAATGAGAAATTTTTGCAAATGATATTAATTGCACTTGTAAAGCACGTACAAAACTAGTAAGCATTAATAGAATTTTCCATCACTTAAACACTATCTTCTACAATTGATTACTACGAACCCTTTGATATGTTGGAAATATAGATTATTAATTTACATGACATGTGCTTGTTAGTTACTGTTTTTTCTCCAACTCAAGTTCCCTAATCTTTTTCATTGTCAAAGGACATGAGGCTTGTTTAGTGCCTTTTGACAACTTCAAAATTAATGAACAAAAATTGGAGAAAACTGAGAGGTACTGTGAGCACTGAGCTCCAAAAATGATATCCCTGCTCCCATATGAGCTAGAATAAGGACAAAGTCCATTTGTTGCTAACACCAAATAATTGTTCAATCAGAACATAAAATAGGAGGTGCATAATAGCACTATGTAATAAAGAATCTGTAAAAGTCTCATTAAATTTTCTTCAGTGGTACTGGAGGAGTTGCAGATAAGCGATGAGTATCCCCAAATATAATAGAAAGAATGGCAGTGTCCATGTTTTGCTAAACCCCAAATATCTATCTGATTATAACGTAAAATAGGTCACAATGGGACCCAGAATGAAGATTCTGTGAGAGTCTCATTAAATTTTATTTAGTGGGAAACTGTGGAATCATTTTCATTTGTGGGGGTCAATGTTCGTGCGCAAGCAAAATTTTACTTGTTTGTGGGAACATAATTTCATGGGTTACTCATTTATATGGTAGATTCAATGAATCAGTATGTTTATCAAATAAACGTTTGTGGGGATGTAAATTCGTGGGTAAGGTTGACCCATGAAATCCATGAACATTGGTCTCCCACAAACAATGATGATTCCACAGAAGGAGTTGTGGATAACAGATGTATTACGGAGTGAAGGACATACAGATGGCAGGGCATACTGATGGAAGGATGGACATCCCCATCACTATATACCAACCCCTTTTCAAGGGGAAGGGGTATAAAAAATGGAAACTAAAGAAACATGTTATGGAGCCTTTTTTCTACCAATACACAACTGATTTTCTTCAAACTGTGTGCATATTATTACTGAACAGAACACTATATTTGTGTGGACATATAGATAAGTGCAGTACTTCTCTTTTGCAGGGCAAATTGATATGATTTGGTGAAATATGATGGTAACAGCAATTTTTTAATAACCATCATTTAATTATCTGCTAGTTAGAATAATCTAAATATGTCTCGGGACAGGCCTTCACAACAGTTAGAATGCCTCCCATGTACCTGCCATGTAGTAGAAAATTGCAGAATCACTCCAAAACGATTTTGGATAAAATAAATGGAGTTGCATTTACACCAGGTCACCATGTTGACATCCGGATTGATTATAGTATTTGCACTGAGAGTTATTGTCCATGTTTGTTTTGCTACAGAGTTATTGTCCATGTTTGTTTTGCTACATTGAACACGGAATGCATTCTATCATTAAACCGAGTTCGTAGGACATTTCTCATTTTAACGAAAGAACATTCTCTCTACTTATCTGCTAGCAAAAACTTCCCCAAAACTGAAAAGTTATAAATTTGCCCTGCAAAAGAGCAGTACCACACTTATCGTGAAAGGGCCAAATAAATAAACATTATTTCAAAATTAAAACATCATGAAGGCTACGTAACTAATGTCTAACATGTTTTGTATATAAACAAAAACAGAATCACTGCATAGGATAGAATTTGATTCCGAACAATTCAGTCCCACTTAAATACTTAAAGCCAAATATCATCAACAAATATAGATCAATAAAATATTAAGTGAGAAAATGAAATGATGACTCACTTCTGGTCATTTACTATATATCTATAATCTACAGTAACAGCTGTTAATGCAACTCACGTCTGAACCGTCATATTTGATAAGTTCCTCAGCTGTGAAGATTTTTGCGGGCTCCCCACTAGGATTTTCATGAATTTCAATCTTACTCATCTCATACTTTGCCGAAGTAGACAAAAATAAAGACAAGAACACCAAAAACAGTTCTGCACACTTCATAACTTTACCGGTATCCTCCATGTTGTATTGTGTCACGAACATTTTTAAAACGCGAGATTTGATTGGCTATCTCCCAAACTTCAGCAAATGAGCGATGACCTAACATAGAAAATTAGGGGAGGAAACTTCCGGTATTAACTTCACGAAGGAGAGGTGTAGACGATAAATTGAAATCGTCTTTTACTTTTGAAATGGACAGCAATGGAAGAAAGGTTGTTGTGTGTGACAATGGCACAGGGGTAGGTCTTTATGCAGTCTTTATTTTCATAAGTACGTACTGTGCAATAAAAATGTTAATCTTACTTTTAAAGTTATAAAAATTACCCGGAAGTGTAGTGTGACTAACTTGCATTATATCTACACATAAAAACATTTCCTGATTAAAAACGACAAATGATATTCTATATGTTTTTCTTAATTTTGGTTGAAAAAAAGCTGTTAGTCTGACTAAGTTTTGTTTTCTATTATTAATTGGATTTATATTGCATATAGTCAAGTATAATATACTGAAATATATCTTCCCCCTTCCTGCTCTTCCACTGATTGGTACATTTAGTTCACAACTGAGTGTGATGAAATCTGCTTTATGCATAAAATCTGATGCATTGCATTTTGCAATTTTTATTGTGTACTTTATGCAGTTCACAAAGCGCTTTTACTTTTAAAAAGAGATGTGCTTAAAATGCAGGGAAGTTGCACGCTTTACACAAATACCCTAATTTTCCATAAAATATTGACACTGTTGTTAGAATTTATAATTGTCAGAATGTTTTTCACATTAATTACATTAATGTGAAAAATGTGATTATTAATGTGAACAATATTTGATAAGAAGATAACAGGACCTTCATCTTTCATGATCAGTACGATTGAGTTTGCTGTCCTGTCACCCCTGTTCAATAAATTCACTCCTATTTTATTTAAGTTATTTTCAGTAATTTTACCTTCTGTGTCAGATTTTCATATGGCCATGAGTACTTGGACAAATTCAAGATTTTCTCTCAAAACATAATTTTTTATTAAAAAAAAATTGAAATTTATACTCTTTTTTTTTTTTTTTTAATTATTATTTTGAATGTGGTTACTCCTTTATTCACTGCAATCATGGTGCTTGGTGGGGAACTTTCCTCACAACCATAACATTTGATGATAACACTTTTGTTCCATTACATTCACTGGGTAATCTGAAGTTTCTCAGGTGATTTATCTTTATAATGACATGGCGTAGTACATTACAAAACATTATGGATCCTGCAGAATTCTTGACAGTTTAGCAGTACACTGTGAATATCAGACTGTTATTTAAGGCTACATTATATTTTGTTTTGAACATATTTTTATTGACAATATGTCAAAGGGATTTGACACAAGTTTCAAAATAATAGGTAATAATTCTTTTCCCATACATAAAATATCTGAATGCCCATGAATATTTACAAAGATTTACATAACATACATGTAAATAGAAAAACAAAAACAATGAATTTTATATCTAAGGATTATATATTGATAATAATGATGATTATAATGACGATAATGATCAAATATAGTTTCAAAAGAGATGTACCGGTAATACAGATAAGCATTAATTGATACAACCTGTATCATGAATTAATTTTTGAACAATGCATGCATGTACCAATTATTTCCCTGTAAAGATAAGAATTCATCTTTTCAAAGCAATTGATACACATTTAATATTTTTACATTAAAAATTACAAGTAGTACATTCCTCACTAAACGTCTAGCTTCAAAATGATTTCTACACACCAAAAATAATGACTATTTATTGACTTTCCTCTGTACATCCACAAGAACAATTCAGACTCGTTTTATTATTACTTTTATGTAAATCATAATTTAAGATAAATTTGTGTCTTAATCTTGTATGTAAAATGTTCAGATACCTTTTGCCAAATGAGAGATACTTGAGAGACTTGTCATTATTATTATTCAATTTTCATTTAAAATTTTTTATTGAAGTTGTTTTCCTTGTTTTGTTACTCAGTAAATTCCATTTGCAAATGATCGATCAGGGAAATTGTGTTTGTGGCAGCAAGGCTTAGAGCCCTGTAGACTACAATTTCATATTAGTTTGTGCATTCTTAAGATTTTATTTTGTAGGATTTTGCAATTAATAGTTTTTCTCCGAGATCTGTTTAATTTTATATTGAATAAATCAATTGACATTTTTGTACTGCTGGAATATTTTTGATCAATACAATATCAGTATTTTTGAAAATAGTGTAAGAGTCTTTCAAATTTCAGTTTCATTTATTTATTTGAAAAATATCTTAGTACAATGAAGATGTTGGCATTAAGAGTACTATCAGTATCTGAAATTTTTCAAAACTCTCATTTATATATACTCAAGTTTTCAAACCTGAGACATGCATTCATATATATGTAGGACTCCAAAGTGCGATGGGACTTCAAAGTCCGATGGTTATGCCAAAGTCCGATGGCCTGCGCCAAACCCCGATGGTTTGACACGCCAAAGTCCGATGGTGCAGAAAAACGATTGACTTTTGTGACGTCATGGTACTACTGCGCCAAACTGCAATGCCGTGCCATGCCAAGGTCTTAAATAAGTATAAATAAATATCATTATGCGAAAACTAACCTTAATCTCTCGGACAGGTGCGAAACTAACCCTAATCGCTCGAAAAGTGTGAAACATCTATAACCTAGATAACTTGGGTGGGTACGAAACTAACCCTAATCACTCGACTAGTGTGTGAGAACAAACCCTAAATCTCTCGGGTTGGTGCAAAGCAAAGACTAACCCTAATCAGTCGAGTGGTGTGCGAGGACTAACACAAATATCTCTGGTGGGTGCAAGCAATAAGCAAAATCAGTAAAATTGTATGCGAGGACGAATACTGAACTGATGGCTTTTGAATGCAGGATGGGTGCGAGGCTAACCCTAATCTCTCGGATGGGTGCGAGGCTAACCCTTATCTTTCATGTGGGTGCGAGGCTGAACCTAATCTCTTGGATGGGTGTGATGCTAACCCTTATCTTTCGGATGTGTGCAAGGCTAACCCTAATCGGTCAAAAAGTCTGTAACATCCTGGATGGGAGAGAAACCCTAATCAGTCAAACCTCTTTTGGGGTGCGAGGCTAAAATTATTTAATCGAATAGTGTACACGTACAAAGATTAATCATTAATGTCTTGGGTGAGTGCAATCCATCCTATAATCAGTGTAATTTTGCACAAGGACTAACCCTTATCAGCCAAGTGGTGTGCAATTACTAATCCTAATAACTCAAGTGAGTGCAAACATTTTAGTTAAAAATCAGTCCAATTGTATTCGATGACTCATCCTAAATTATTGGTTTTGAAATTACGGACTGTGGCATCGAGGATTGAAGTCAGAATATTGTGACATCAAAAATGTTAATTGTTTCTCCGCACCATCAGACTTTGGCGTGTCAGACCATCGCACTTTAGCGCACGTGTATCATACGAAACGAGCCATCGGACTTTAGCGTGACCATCGGACTTTGGTGTCCGTACAAATGTCAACCCATCGGGGTTTGGCGCAGACCATCGGACTTTGGCGAGACCATCGGACTTTGGCGTCACCATCGGACTTTGCCTACATATACATGTATATATTTACATGTACATTTATATGTTACAAGCATCTTTTTTTTGTTTTTGCATACTGTTTTCTTCTTATTTATTTATAGAAGATATGTTGTTTAGCTTTCATATTGAATATTCATTTTCACAGTTTTGGGGTAATATTGTGTATTTTCAGTTTGTAAAGTGTGGATATGCTGGTTCTAACTTTCCTGCACACATTTTCCCATCTCTGGTGGGGAGACCAATCATCAGGTCCACCTCCAAAGTAGGAAACATTGAAATTAAGGTAAAAACATTATAAAAATTACGTTTAAAGTAAAAAAGATCAGGAAAAAATTTTCACAGTGCAGACCAAGAATGTTTTGAATTCTTTTATTCTGTTTGTACATAAAATTATCATCATTTACATAAATCCTGAATGGACCATGTAGATACGTGAATCGTATGTGAACAGTATGATTTATATATATGTGCATGTCTGTAGGATATAATGCTTGGAGATGAGGCAAGTGAGTTACGGTCCATGCTGGAGGTGAATTATCCAATGGAGAATGGGATTGTCAGGAATTGGGATGACATGCTGTTGCTGTATGACTACACATTTGGTCCAGAAAAACTAAACCTGGATTGCAGGAACAGTAAAGTTCTGCTGACAGAACCTCCCATGAATCCTAGCAAAAACAGAGAAAAAATGATAGAGGTACAGTAAAGAATCAGAAAACAGATAATTTGCAGGAATTGGGGTTGAATTAAATCTTTAATAAGATTCATAAAAATTTGGTGAATTAACAAGTTTCTTTAAACATCCTCTTATGGAAGGATTTTGTCGGAATATACATGTAATTGGACAAATTGGTACTTGAATAAAATGTAATTTTACATCAGGTATATTATAGGGAGGGAAAAGCTGATACACATTAAAAAAAAAAAATCATGAATTTTAATTTTATGACACAATTGTCACCAATTGACATCTTGCTGATTTAAGGTCAGTTGATTCAGTTAAGTGAGCATTTGCTATCTGTGTCTGTCTATTCATCCAATCTACCAGTATTGAAAATTTTCAGCTTCATTCTTCAAATGACCGAGCCAGTGTCAACGTATATAGAATTTATAGGTAAAAGGGAACAACATTCATCAATTTTATTGTCCATGCTCCCCAGATGTCTCAGGGTTGAGGCCAGAATATAAAAATCCGTACCATTTCAAACCTTTTTTATTTACTGATGATCATTTTGCAGACGAACTAGGTATATGATTAAATTTAGCTCTGAAACTTCTTCCAAAATAATGTTTCATATTCTGTGAGTCTTTGGTTCAGACACTAAGTTGGAGCAAAGTTGATCATATTTTACATTCTGTTTAATTTCTTAAAGTGAGTTGTGATCCATATACGAAATTTTTAATTTTATATCTCATGACTGAGTTTTACAGACATCCCCCAGGGCATTGATTCTACTTTCAGAGAAAAGCTTAGTTGATCATACATTGAAAATAAGTTTGATGTCTAAATATATTAGGCTATACAGAAATCATTTTCCCTTATTATAATGATCTAAAGGCCTCTTAACAAAATATATGGTATCCGTTGGATCACTGCTTCAGTCCCTAGTTGGGGGTCAGGTGATCATATATTGAAAGTGAGAATACATTATATCTTTGCAAAACTTCTTTATCCCTTTGCAAACTGCTTCTGGATTATAAGGAGCAGTAGGCATTAACCAAATCCCCCCCCCCCCCTCTTTCCATGGGTGCATGTGTCAGGTCTTCTTAAGGTTGTATTTGTAATTTTTCAGGTTATGTTTGAGAAATATGGATTTGCAGGTGTATATATTGCAATTCAGGCAGTTTTGACATTATATGCCCAAGGTAAGGACAAAAATATATTTAAATCATTAAGTAGAATAGTTTTCATTACTTAAAAAGCAGTCTAAAACTTGAATATATATTTCTTTAAAAAAGGTTATTTATATCTCAGAAGTGAGCTAAACTGGTTGAAAACTTTTTTCCATGTTGCCTTAGGATGACAAGATCCTATCATAAATAAAAGCACAGAACAAAGTTTAATTATTTGTTTGTTTTAGGTTTACTAACAGGGGTGGTTGTAGACTCCGGTGATGGAGTGACACACATCTGTCCTGTATATGAAGGATTTGCCCTGCCTCATTTAACCCGTAGATTAGATATTGCTGGTCGAGACATCACTAGATATCTAATTAAGGTAGGAAGTTGGTAACTGCCTATCAGTAATTCCTATGAAAGTCGATTTATTGATTTTTAGAAAAAAAGGAAAATTTACAAAGGTTTTGTTCAGGTTAGTCTTTAAAAAGTAAAATTACTGATTTTCATTGTGGTACATGTAGAACCATTACAAAGTTTATTACTTATTCCTTAATTCCTCTTTGCAGTTGCTATTATTACGTGGCTATGCATTCAACCATTCTGCTGACTTTGAAACTGTTCGAATGATGAAAGAGAAGTTATGTTATGTCGGATATGATATTGAACAAGAGCAAAAATTAGCTTTGGAAACAACTGTGCTAGTAGAATCTTACACAGTAAGTCTTCATGTAATTAATCTGTAAGCCAGAGGCAGAAAGTGTTATTTATTTAAAAGTTTGTATACAGACCTTAGTGATTATAAAGTTCAATATTGGTCCATAATAATAATGTATTGGTTTGAATCCAGACGTTAAAGTTGTCAATTCTAAGGGTTACCTGAGTTATTTTAAATTATCATTCTTTTTTAGTTACCAGATGGTAGGGTAATACGGGTCGGTGGTGAGAGATTCGGTGCTCCTGAGGCCTTATTCCAGCCCCATCTTATCAATGTCGATGGAGTGGGAGTGGCAGAACTTCTCTTCAATACAATCCAGGCAGCTGACATGGATACGCGACCAGAGTTTTATAAACACATCGTCTTATCAGGGGGCTCGACCATGTACCCAGGCCTGCCCAGTCGACTAGAGAGGGAAATTAAACAGCTCTATTTAGAGAGGGTACTGAAGGGGGATACCACAAGACTGTCTGTAAGTTTGTATGAAAATCTGTTGATTAATAAACTGTTTCCTGTTTTGTTAGGGTTTTTTGTTTTTGTTTTCCACAATGTATGAATTGTTAAGGAAGCAGATACATGTATATGTATTGTAAAGTGATTTTTTGCTGACTAGCCTAGACATGTTTGATTTTCATGTATTTCCTTATAACATTATTATTATCAGTGCTTGATCAAACTTTCAGGCTCAAAAAATAGTATAAAGAAATTGCTTCTTGCTTAATTTTCATTTGAAAACTTCCTGATGTGTAAAGGGAAATATGACACATTACAAAGCATTCCACACAAACTTTATTTATTTGTAGAAATTCAAAATAAGGATAGAAGATCCCCCAAGACGAAAACACATGGTATTCCTTGGAGGCGCAGTTTTAGCAGATATTATGAAGGACAAGGAGAGTTTCTGGATGACACGACAAGAGTATGAAGAAAAAGGAATCCGAGTGTTGGATAAACTGTTAGCAGGACCACAGTGATAAATCTTATACTAGTACCTAACCAAATTCCATTCCACAGCACACACTCTCATGGCTAACATCCTCATTAAGGGATTACTTTAATGTCTGAGAAATAAGGATATACTTTTCAAGGGTATAATTTGATATTTCAGGTGACTGTAAACATTTTAACATTTTTTAAATAAAAATTCCAACAGCTATGATTTACTCAAAATTTTTTTTACCATACATGTATTTGATTTTCTAGATCCAGTTATATATAGATTATTGATAAAATTAATTTTAATCACAAATTTAGCTGAATGAATAGATGGTTCATAATGATATGTATTTTCGTTGGCTTAAAGGTCTTAAAAAAATTATGCAAGAGCTGTTAGAAAGAAATTTTCTTAACTCTATGAATGAACTAATTATCATGGTGCCTTTATGGTTTGGATAAAAGAATGGGTGCATTAATCATGTGATATGAGAAGTGGCGTAAATATGCATAAGTTGTGGACAGCAATCATTATATTTGTATAGAATGATCAAATCCTTAGTAGGGTGCTTTCTGCTCTACATCTGATGTTTTATTTATATACTGATGGTCAGTCTGTGTCTATCTTTTTCTGTATATTATTATAATATGGATTACTTTATCATTGATATAGAAGATTTCAAAGTATTTGAATGTACACTTGAAGAAGAATAAGTTATATAAATTATATAATACATATTCTATGTATTAAAAGAGTACTATTTTTTAATTTGTTTTAATGACATGTCTAAATATTAATAAGATTTTATAAAGGATTAAGTGATATACAGTGTTAGTACAAAAGGTCACATTTTTTGTTACATTTGCTGATGCAATGCAATAAACATTGTATAAAAAAGCTTATGTAATCATCATTTCAAAATAGAATATCTACATATTTACAATGTTTTGTCTCATCAGAGTCTTTGAGCGAAGAAACAATGGTGCATGGGTGCATGGTTACCATGCAACACAGTCAATGAAACCAACATTGCCTGAAATTTGAAATTAACATATTTACATTGTTCAACATTTGCTAAATATTGTATATTTCAATGAATTGCATGTTCAGGTCAAAATGTTGGAATGAGTGATTTCCAAAGCAGATGTTTTATCTTGATAATAGCAATATTAAAAAAAAGATATATATAATAGTAAAAATGGTCAAATATTATTCAACAATTTTTTAATAAACTTGAAAAATAAATTGTCCTGTTTTGTTGTTTGAACTGAACTGATAAGGGAATGAATTTGCAGGATATGCTGAATAAGTTCTATATGCAGTTGTTTAATATCTATACTTATAAATTGATATTTTTTTGCAAATAAACTCCGAAACGCCTACACCAGAGTTTATACTTACTCCTTTTATATTACATTAGGTATAAGATGATGTCTGTGTATTTAGATTTCACTCGAATAGTAATTATCTTAATCAATTTAATTAAAAGTCTGCTTCGATACACAGCCGTGAAATAGGAAATAGGAGAGTACATGGTGGTTACGGTTGGCGAATCTAAGTTACTAGCATATTTAATGAAACTGGCAACAATCGATTGTTAATACATCATTTGTGAATTATTCAATTAAAACTTGATAAAAAGTGGTATATGAGATATAAGTTGTAATAACTGATTAAAAAACAAAATGTGCAAGTCGTTTTCATCAGTCCCTGATCTTAGTCTTGAAGGAAATTTCTACACTGTCATATGGCATCGAACCCGATATTTAAAAGAATATTTATAAAACAGTCTTATTAAAATCAAACCTTCACTAGTTCTTTAATTTTTTTTTCTCGAGACAATCAAAATAAAAAGGAGCTAGTTAAGGTTTGGTTTTAATCAGACTGTGTGAGAAACAACTGTTATTAGTAATTCGCGCATTAGATTATTAGAGTTATCTGTGTTATCTTTATGATAAACGACGAGTGGAATTTAATGCGATTTATTTTTTAAAAAAAATTGCGACTTTAAAGAAAGCTAAAATTACTTTATAGTAAAACATATTCATACGGTATCTTTTTAAGGTAGAGTGGGTCCTTACTCCATGTTTTTCTAACCCTAAAAAATCAATTTTTTTTTACGCATATTTTGGTGATATACATGTACAATGTACCTTCAAAACTTAAAATAAAGTGATGACCCAGTCTGAGTTATTGTATGGGGGAAATGGTCAGTTTTGTCCTCTTTGGTATGTACTTGCTATTTCATAGACGGATAATTTCAATACTTATGAGATTGTAGCACTTTGTGAAGATTTTAAAGAAAGTATACATTCACGTTATCAAAGAAAATATTGCCCTGACTGAGATTTAATTTTGTCGAACCATGGGCATTTTTCTTGACTTCTTTCCCTGTGTAAAGTTTGTATGACAGTTCATGTTCATCCATTGATTAAAAAATTACGATACGACATACTGGTAAAATATTTTTTTGTACAGTTGGCCTTCATTCGAGTTTTAGAATGTGTACCGAGTTTGAAGTGTAAGTGTTAATTTGAATCAGAATTACGAATGTGTTAAGACGGAAAGAAGTCAGTTACTAATAAATGTATGCTAGCTTGTTCTGAACCTTGTGTTGAATTGGGATGGAACCAATTTTGGTTGTTTTTTTTTTAAACTCAATTAAACATTTCCAATCTCTATTTGAGATACTCATCATACTGCATGGTATTTATCAATATATCAGTATGTTTACCCATGTACACAATGAATATAAAGGTTAGCATATTCAAAGAAATTGTTTTGTTAGCTCTACTGGTCAGAGACCAGAAAAGCTTATGCGATAGTAAGGTGTCCGTCGTCCGTCCGTCTGTCTGTCTGTCCGTCTGTAAACAATTTTTCAAAACACTACTCCTCCTACAGTTTTAGTCTGATTTCAATTTAACTTGGCACACACAAGTTAGACTACACTAAGATACATAATTCTGTGTATCGGATTTTGATTTCGATGAACGGTGTTGCCGTGTTTACTTAAAATAGAGATTTCTGGGAAGTACTTTCAAAACGCTACTCCTCCTACAGTTTTCGTCTGATTTCAATATAACTTAGCACACAAGTAGAGTATACTAAGATACATAATTCTGTATATCGGTTTTTGATATCAATGAACGGTGTTGCCATGGTTACTAAAAATATAGATTTCTGGGAAGTACTTTCAAAACACTACTCCTCCTACAGTTTTGGTCTGATTTCAATATAACTTAGCACACAAGTAGAGTACACTAAAATACATAATTCTGTATACGGGTTTTGATATCAATGAACGATGTTGCCATGGTTACTAAAAACAGAAATTTCTGTGAAATTCTTTCAAAACCCTACTCCTTCTACAGTTTTGGTCTGATTTCAGTATAACTTGGCACACAAGTAGAGTTTACTAAGATACATAATTCTGTGTATCGGTTTTTGATATCACTGAACGGTGTTGCCATGGTTACTAAAAATAGAAAATTCTTTTAAAAGTCTACTCCTCCTACAGTTTTGATGATTGCAATAAATGCGACAAAAAGAGACTTAACCAAGGATCATTATTCTATTTATTGCTGTTGCAAAGTTTCAAGTCCAAGTGCTACTTTTATCTTCCTTTGTTATAAGTACAAACCAGTAGGGCTACAGTCTCATCAGAGACTTCTGTTTTTTTTATTCAACTCGCCAAAAGTGATCCAAGAAAATAATCGTTGTCGGATATTACTTTACTCTGGCAGATTAAGAGAAGATTTATCAGTCTTTCATGATTACACATTTTTGCTTCTCTTCTTATATTTATCTAGTAGTATATGAACTAAACAAAATTTCTTAAGACAGCAGTACAATATTATATGAAAACAGAACATTTATCTAATCTACAAGAGTAAATCTAATATGCCATTTTGCCCGATGCAGGAGAATTTGCCGAAGTCTTGGTTTCAAGAGAAGATCCCAAATGGCTTTCATGACCGCAGACCAATTTTCCAAAACCAATTGCGCACTTTTATCCTTGCACTGATATGAAGTTGAAGAAGTTACCAATGATGGTCAGTGGGTTTGTAACAGCAGTGGTATCCATGTTTCTCTAATAATGAAGAGTGATATGTTTATCATATCGCCTAGAAGTCACCCAGTGCTTTTGCATCTGTATCAAGTCCACCACACTTCCGATTGGCACAGAGTTTGCGATACAATCTTGCAATAGTCATGTGGTGTATATTGAATGCCTTGGTTACACATAGAAGACATCTGTATAAATTATATATTTATCAATCTAGGCACAGCATTTTTTACCAGAAGAAACAAATATTTTTAACTTATTTTGATTTTTTTTTTTAAAAAAAACTTTCCAAAGAAACACCCTAGAGAAAACACTCCGACTTCTCTACCATGCTGTTCTATGGTCAAACACAGCATACGCTGTCAATTTTTTTCCTTTTTTTATGAATGCAAACATAAAAGAAGAAAATGTGAATTTTACCCCTAAAAAAGTGTGAGCATAATTTTCCAGGAATTTCTATGCTATGGTTACGCTTCTTTCAACCTGTAATCATTTTTCAGTTTGAGCACTTTAATGCCTTACTTTTTAACCATGATAACATATTTAAAATACACTAAATTCACCATGTAACTGATAAATTTATTCCAGTCATTAACAAAGAGAATTGTAAATACACTGTTATTGGAATTTAAATCCACGTGATCACCATTGTGGTCAAGATGTGTAGTCCACCGGCGTTCAGTTGTGATAGGAACAAAGAATATGGGTGAACAAGGTGAGAAAAATGCCTATTGTGCGAGAAATAAGAGAGTGAAAAATTAAATTCTTGTTATAATAAAATTTTCTTTGATATTTTATTTAACATTAACGCACAAGCTATAGGCATTTTGCACGCCTTGTTGGCCCATATCTCCTATGACCAGAATTTCAAAGTTCTAGGGCCATGGCGCGTCTCCTTTTCCTAACATACCTTTTTTGTCGGGTATAAGATTCTTATATTTCGCTATCACAAAGTTAGGAGCCAGACGAAAATTTTGCGCTCTCTAATTCTGTTAGCTGCAGGTCTGTATCTCACTGGTCTAAAGAAAAAAATGGGGATGGACGACTTTCCCAATATTTTAAACAGTGAGCTGACGCTAAATCTCCGTTACGTTGGAAATAACTTTGCATCAGATTGACAACCATCTGATCTTTAAACCACTGATAACATCACGCGCAGTCAATCTTTTACATCGGTTGTAAAAACCTTTCTGCAACCTAAATAAATGCTTCTATAGAATGCTTTCGGTTGTCATTTGTTTCGTGTGAGCTTTTTCTTCATCCGCTGTATTTGCAATTGTCTATGGAACTGTTGTTGCAAGTCACATTTTTGACTTCTTTTTCAAACATACTGAATAAAGCATCTTTATTCTCCAATTCTCTCGTCTATCGTAATCAGCATCAAAGTTTTGAGTCAGTGTTTGACCTTAAAGCCTGAGACCGATACATATTCTGGATGATCGACAAATTCAAAATTAAGTCTGTCCGTTGTGCGAAAAAAAGAAAGGTCTACAAGACAAAGAATTTTACCAAGGATACCCCAAGTAAAAAAGTAAAATAACATAGAATGGTAACAAGTTGTTTGGAGTTTTCCAAAAAAAAAAAAAAAAAAAAAAGAATTTAAAAAAACGATAAAGTTTTTTTTTTTTTTAATTTTCTATCAGACTCTGAATAGTGCCCTTTTACTGATTTTCTTCCTTGGAAGACGGTATACAGAGTTGAAGTATTTATAACAGTCTTCGGAATATGCACTTCATCTCTTATGTGATTGGTAAAAATTGCTTGATGTGAAAATTTTCAATTATTTCATTGGTTGAAATGCTGTTCAAGGCAAGGGAGATAATTTTCTGGTGATTTAATTTTCTGACTGAACAATTTTTCAGGATTTTTAATCTTGAAAAAATCTACAAAACTAACAAAAGAATATAGCAATAAATGAAACTAATTACACTTTATTTTTTTATAGTAATTACTAAAAAGGGTTTCTATATTTCAATGGTCAAAAGAAATGTTCTTTATTGCATCGAAACATTACACTTGTATTTATTATCTTTTTTTTCTTTGTTTTACACTGCCTTTCATATGGTAGGGATAATGTGTGTATAAAGCTGATGAAAAAATAATAGGCCAAGAAATCCTCAAGAATAATGCAGTATGATAGGTGTAGGTCAGTTTACCGTTTAAGGTTGCTGCTATTTTGAAAAAGTTTTACTTGTTATTCATTTCATGTTGTCTTTTACAACTTTATTCTTATTTCGCTAAATGCTATTTTAAATAAGTGTGCCCTTAGCGTCTTCTACGGACAACTTTACTTCTACATGTATCCTCATTATAATTTCTAAGAGTTTACTATAAATTCTATAAGTCGCCCGCGTGGAGCAGTCGTTAGAGGTTTTACTCTAGAGTCCAATCTAGAGGGTAAGAAGTTGATCCTTGCGTATCGTGAATTTCACTAAGGTACGAGATCAGTCCTTCAGATAAGACCGTGTAAGGTGAAGTCCCGTAGGCACGAAAAGTTTCCTCACTGCTCAATGGCCATAAGTGCCGAGTACAGATCAAAATTTGCAGCCTTCATTCGGCCATTGGTGGCGACCAAACAAGAATGAAAAAATTCATTTGGGATTAAAGCAAATAACCAACCCACTTTCCAATACATCAAAAACTTATTAATAAAATGTTTTTTTTTCTCTGTGAACATTAAAAATGGGCCTATTTCAGTGTATGAAATAAATTTTACTTATGACAACCACTGTCTTCTGATGTTAAAATGATACCCGTAATAAATGGAATTAACGCCACCAGAATCTTACGTAAAGTCACATAGGTAATTAGATCGCTTTTGTGCATAAATTCATTGAGATTAAGCACATAATTACTCCTTGTCCTGTCCTCCACATTGATTCAGTTTGTAACATTGACAGTGAACATCATTTGACACTAAGCGCATTTAGAATTTGCGATCATCAAAACCCTCCTTGTTAAATTTTGTCGTCCATCAAAGAAATACAATTGACATAACCTGTTTTTTTTTTAACTTATAATCCTTTGCATGATAAGTATCAGCAAATATCATCCTGTATTTTTTAAAATATGGTTATCATAATTTTTTCCATGGCCAGTAATTTAAACAGTTTTGATCCTGTTCTCTTCCACCGGAACCTTCGCAACTGAGCACGCAATCTCCCCCAGCGTACTGTTCGTAGGTGATTTGACAAAGCTTACAGTAATCGACACACGCTTGGATTTTTAAGGCGGAGGCAATTTTGATACTGCCAGTCAGGAACTTACTGCAGTGAGGGTCCGTACTGCCGAGGAAACAATTCCTCTGGCAGAGTCCAACATTGTATTCCCCATCTGCAAAGTCTCTGCACTCGTCACATAAGTCCAGACACTGTGGCACACGTGCCTCAGAGGATGTAAAAGACATGGCTAGACTCAGAAAGAAGGCGTACAAAGGTGCCTGCAAGAGATCAGAGAGTATATGTGTAATGAGAGCTTTTGCCACCTCTTGAAGGGGGGGGGGGATTCATAGGGATATACGTGTATAAAGAAACTACAATTTTATTGTGGTTGGGTGAGTGTGACACAGGTTAAGTTTTGATGGGTGTAGCTGTTTTGTAATAACCTTGTTAAAAATGCCCCCCAAGATCAAAGATCTAGGGTGGGGGATATTGATCTTGATCTGCCCCTCTGTCTCTTTGTCCACAACTTCATCCTTGTGCATATTTTATTTTTAAGTACATAACACTGACACGTTATACTTGGCACAGAGGCAGTTTATAACCAGAAGACTTCTCCTGAATCCAAAACATCATTTGGACAAGAGATTTGAATTGTTCTCCGGTACATTACTTTGTTATGGCCAAATAAGCAGGCTATTCAAGTATGTATAAAAGTCTGGATCACATACGTTGTCATTTACACAAGGTAATGTTCAATCGCAATTTCTCGGACCTTTCCGACAGGTTTTTTTCCGAGCTTGCCGGAAAAGTTCGAGAAGATGCGATTGGGCAATTTTAAATTTAGAAATTGAATTCTATTACAAATGGGTCATTCTGAAGGCATTTATCACATTTTTCCAAACTCATTTTTTTTCTTTAGAATTCAAATTCCCCTGAGGAAATAATAGAAAAGCAACTAAAGCAGATAGCTTTATTTTCTAACAACTTAAATTCAAAACATTTAACAACTTAAATTTTATGCTTTAAAATTGTATAGCATCAAACATACAGACAAAAGCTAGTCATGTGCATTTGTAATTGATATTTCTCAAGAATATTAAAAACATTAAAACCTAGCAAAAGGAGACATTTGTTTGTCAATAAGTAGAGAAAATGATGCTTTAAATCCATTCGAAATTTCCTCAACACTTCAGTTGTTACAATCTTGCTACCAACAAGCCAAAGGCCCGAATCATCAAACTTAAAAAAGTCTTATAGGTAAAATCGTCAAAATGTTCCAGAAATTTTACCAATAATTTATACAGTTCAGATCTATTTTCAATCCACCGGACATCTGACATTCGTTTACACATTTACTCCCATTATATTCTGGGTATGTAAGTTTGCAGTAATAGCAGTATTTCTTACATTCAAGAGCGCGTTTTTCAAAACTTCTCTTGAATGTAGCTGTGGAGAACATACTACATTGATAGTCAATTTTTCCTTTTAAACAGCTGTTTTGGCAAGAACCAATATCGTAATCATCCGTTTGGTGCTTGCATTCATAGCACTTCTGGAAGCAGCGTGGCACTAAAGCAGCATTTAAGACACCGATGCATAGAGCTAGACAGAGACTATTCAATACAGCCTGAAAGAAATGAAAAAGAGTGGTTTGAAAAACAGAAAACTTAGGAAGCAGTAAAAGATATCTTCGTCAGTTGATTTTTTTTGGGGGGGAGGGGGGGGGGGACTTTGCAACTAATCTGCATTGTAATACACTTACCTTTTTCTTATGACCGAATATGAATTTTAATTGGCATTTCCATTGTAAAAAAAATATATATATTCATTTCTCTAGTCTTATTTAGAAAAACACAAAGTGTCAATTGTTATAGGCCTATTTAACATAAGACGCAGGGCAAAGCGCTGGGAAAGAGGTAAGGATATTTTACTTTAGAAGCCATAATATTGTAACCATCGTTTAGATTAGGAACGGACAGACGCATATTAACAGGAAAATGAATATAAAAAATTAAAGCTTACGAGTAATGGGAACCAGTATCATCAATTTTTCAAAAATAACAACCAGCAATATTGAATCGTTATTTTTCAGAAAGACAAATTAAGTAATTTTTGGAGCAATGACAAGCTTATTTTGAATAACAAACTGTTATGATTATTTTTTCGTTCAGCAATGTTAACTAGAGAAGAGAATGGTTTGCTTCTGGCACCTGTCACTTAGTATAAGAGCAAACATTTATAAATGGCTTCATTTGTAATCGTCCAATAATAAACACAAAATGAAGCTAATCATCTCTTACTCGAAAAATAATTATCAAATGATATTCTTAACATTTAGCTGTATTTGTAATAAAAATTAAATGGAAATTGACTTTTGAATTATCTGACTGAAAATTCTTGGATTTGTATAATCACAACTGTTTTATATAGCACTCCATTTGTCCTAAGTTTTGAATGATTTTTAAATAAGTCGATGGAATTCATAACCAGCTCTTTACAAGGTGATTTCTGATAGGGAAATTCAACAATAATTAAGTAGGTATTGGATTGAAAACGTATTTAAAGGTCAATGATAGTACGATTGTACGAAAGTGTATTCAAAATTTCAAATGATTACAATTGAGGAATAAAAGTAAACCACATTAGAAAATAATAAATTGATTAAAAGGATGAGAAATTCCATTTAAAAAAGAGAGACTTTGGGCAAGAAATGAATGAATTCAATAAAATCATAATACGTGTGTATATTATGTATTTTAGGGGAAATAATGGCTTGATAAACGTAGCAAATAATTATCATTTAAGATTCGATATCTTTAGTGTGATATTAAACATGACATGCATGAAATCTGATGTATCTTATACATCTTTATATAAAGCATTTTCAAATTGAAATAAGCGCATATAGTGTAGAATGAATGTACGGATTAAGGAAGTTTTAAACACTAATGAAGACTGTTTTTTTTTTTTTTTTTGGACTTTGAGAAAATTGTATTAAATAAATGTGTACATACTGAGATTATCTTGTTTATATTTTCAATATAGGGTACTTGCCATATTTCTCCAGGAAAAACGTTCAAAGACAATGAAGTATTAGTAAATGGAAATCATTGTTATTTACTTATATTGAGAAATTACATGCAAATTAAGTTTTCAGTTATTTTGTCTTGGTCTAATACAATGGTGAGAATACTTTAATCTATTTCAAATTGTGTCATTCACGATAGATTTTCTCTGTATTCTATTTTACATGAAAGGGCAAATCACTGTAGCTGCATAAAACTATACGATAGACTTAGAACTCTTCAGTGAGGAGTGTTTAGATCAAGTCACTTGGTAGACTTCATGGCTTTTGAAATTGAAAAATGCATATTTCAAATTTAGTCAAAAAATAAATAAATATTTTTTTTTATTATAACACACTGTGCTACATTATTGTAACAAATCAAATGACTTTAAAAAATAATAGAATGATTCCTTGCATTTGAAGGGGACTATATTTTATGGAGAAAGTATTTTCTAGATGAATTTGACAAACCTTTTTTTATCTTGTTTAAAATTTGTGAAAGCAATATTCAACGCAGAACAATTCAGATAAAAACCTATTGCACATTCCCATTTTCATAGTGTTGAAGTTAATTTTATATAAGGACCCTCGCGTTTTATTTGCAAATTTTGAAATTGAAGACAATACTTAGCATATCATTTTGTACTTTATCCTGGGTATATATATATCTATATATATATATATTAACTAGATTAATCAGATATAAATATACTTTACAAAAAAACCCCACATACAATCACGCTGAGGAACGGCCAAGGATAAGGTGATACATGTACACGTGTACTACATTCGACTTTTATCACCTTTTGATTACTGATATTTAAAAAAAATGCGTACTTTATCCAAAAAAGAGAGCTTATATATTTTAAATAATACTGAATTTAATAGAGATTCATTTCCCAAATAATTTGGTAAATTAGACGGGAGAATGTGTGATCTTAAAGGCATAATAAATGCAGTATTATACTAGAAATCTCATTCAAAATCGAAACGTGTTCAATAACATAAAAGAAATATCAGATTACAAAAATAACATGTTTTCTGAACACGATGAATTTATTTTTAAAACTTCATCACTTTTTTCAACACCTTCGGTGATATGGTGAAAAGAATTAGGATTGGATTTCGGAATTCATCTTTTAATTGAGTATCTATTTCTTACTTTTATGGCATTGCTTAGTCAAAATTCGATTTAAACTGAAAATTGCTTTTTCATTCCTGGCAATGAAGGCTTAATTGATCAGAATGGTATGAAACTTTAAAATGCTTTTCTTTGCTTTTTTGTTTTCCCTTGAAATATAAATTGCGCATGCATTTGACGTAAGTATATAATTTACTTAACCCTGGAATACTAGTATACTTTGGATGTTTGCCATATTACAATTATTTTTATTAAACAGAGGGGGGATATGTGTGAGAGAGCTAGTATTAGACCAAAAAACAGAATGCGTTAATTTTCAAAGATTACATTTACCAATCATCATTAAATTAAACTATGAAAAAAAAAAAAAACATTTCTAGTCTTGTAGGAGCAGGGAAACAAAAGTTGTAGAACCTTTTTAAAACCCTGATCACCCTCTAAAAGGATCGGAATTCCAAGTAAAGGATAAGTTCAACAAAGTTTAATCATGAGATTCGGTCGACAGTTATTTCCCAATGGAGTTAGACCATCTAGATTAATAACAGAAATAATTGTGGCCTTCCATTTTGTGTCTCTCCAAAAATACTCAGTAATTAATAATGGACGCCATGCCTTTCCTCTGTATTATTATCCGTAATACAAGTATAATAAATATAATTTTTGAGTAGCAATTGTCCTTTATATTCATAAAAAATTCAGCGAGTAAATGCGGTTTTCCTCCAATCGATTTTTGTTCTTGAATAGCTATAAATCTAATGATCAAAATAGGACATCATGAATTCTGAATTTTTTTTAAAGTTCATCAAAATTGCTGAATAGAGTAAATGAAAAGGGTGAAGAAGAATACGTAGGGATATGAAAACAGTGTGTGGTAGTATCACTCTGCTGGTATCTATGGACTCCCACTCTGAATTCACAGAGGCCGGTTACATACAATGATTGATTTAACTTGATCCCTTTATTACATTTGTATCTATAGATATTAATATAGGTCTACATTTATGGGGATCACGTAATATGTTGCTGGCGATTAATATCCGAGGGTATATTGCAATTTATCTTACATATCATGTGGTGTTTCAGCTCTATGCTTGCAATTCTTAACAATATTAAATGTTTAAAACAATCGTCAGAAAAACAATATATTAGACAATAAGTTATGGTCAATTGAAAAATAGTGAGATATATTTTTATTTTCATCATTCAGTATAGTATTAAAGACATTATTCCATTGCCACATAAAGGTTAATGATGTTTATTTGTCCTCATCAGAACGGTATCAGAATTGATTTCAATTATACTTTTTTAAGTTTTGTGTTTGTTTGTTTGTTTGTTTTTGTTTTTGTTTTTTTTGGTTTGTTTTGTTTTTTAATTTATTTATTTATCATTATTATTTTTTTTTTTTTTGGTAAATGTATATGATAAAATGAACAAAGTGTCCAAACGACTGCCAATGGCTAGAAGTGTATAATCGGATTTTTTTTTTTTAATTTGAACAAGGAAGGCATACAATGTAAACTAAAAGACTTAGAACTAGAAGGAAAAGTTATGACTTCCAATAATGGAATCTGGAACAATGCATAACAAGATGTCTGAGAATAAGATATAATTGTGTTGCACTTCACAGAAGTATTTATGGTAATGGGTTAGGATTATACTTGTATTAATCACGGACTCATACAAAAGTTACGGATTAGGCGCGTGAAAATGATAACGAATGAGAAACTTACATGTTACAGTAGAACAAAACACGTTTTCACCCTTGAGGCAGTCAGATTTATACATTTGTAGAGTGTATTATATATATATATATATTTTTACTTTTCTTTTACACAGAGTAGCTTGAATACAGACATAATAAGTTTCCCAAATGAAGTGAATTGTATTCACGTTAACCAAACAAATGCATGCGGGGAGGAAAACAAAATAGAACAGAAGCATCTCTTGGGTTATTTTGATGCGTTCGACAGTCCAAACTCCGGTCGAATTTACCTATAACAACACATAACTGTAATCAATGTTGAACATATTCAGTCATCTGCTGAACATTCAAAGAAAGAATTTATTGGATATATCTAGAGGATATTCAATATTTCATAGTTGAATATGGAAATTATTTCACTCGTGAAGATGCAAAAAAACTCGTCTCACGAGTGAAATAAATTCCATGTACATGCATAAATTCCATGTCCATAATCCATGTACATTCAGAATATTGAATATTCTATTTACTTATCCCAAAGGATATTCATGACTTAAGCAAATTTAAAATTAAAACTACATGGGGATTTGAATATCAAAATGACTTATATGACCTAGCTGTTTTTTCATCAGTATGATTTAGTGTCACCCAAATACTCATATAACATTTCCATGTTTTCATTTTGTCCCTTTTAGATGTCCCTTTATTAAAATTTAAAACGAAATTGCGTAGAATATTGGTGCTTAAGAGGAATGCAAAATAAAGAACTCGTAAGTTTGAACAATTAGATAACTTTATTTTTACCTTTTATGATACCTTTAATGGTAAAATATGAAAGAATAATTTAACATTTTTTTTGTAAACTTATCACAAATGGCAGTGGCGAACGTGTGCTGCCATTGGTCTGTGGATATCTACTTGTTATTTTGACACTGTGAAAATACCACTTGTTAGTTTCACACTGTGAAAATATTATTTGTGAAAATATGAATTTTATTCAACAGTTAAATAACATTATTTTACTGTTAAAAATGTAATGAATAGAAATTTTACAGCAAAAAGGGTCCTGATATAAAACCCCAATTTAATACTTAAGGTCACTACCATCGCCGAAAGAGTAACGGACGACAACTATGCCTGGGGAGTAACGAACGACAACTATGCCTGGGAGATTGGCACTAGTCAACCTTTGAGAAAAAGAATATATTTGAAAAAAAACAATACAAATTGTACAACATTCAATAAAAAAAAAAAGCCCTAAAAATCGGCAAGACATGAGATTTATAGGGGACTATTTCTTGTGGTAGAAGGATATTAAGAAAATTCGCAGAATATACAGATTTGATCTATTGAAAATGTTCGAACTTTGGCCCTACATATTTTTACTTACAGAAATTTTCACGTTGTTGTGCGCTATGAATATTTAATGTGAGTTTAGATGATATTTTTAGAATAAATTTTATACATTTATCGACATACTTTGCCAAAAATTGCGGATATATATTTTTTAAAAAGGTCAACATAAAATTAACTCAGTTTTTAGCCTGAAATTTGCTTAATTTGACACATATCTCAAACTTACAACACTGGCCTAAACTTTACATGTATATTTCGTTCTGTAAAATTACACAATACTTCTTACCTCTTAACACTTGATTCATAACTTGAAAAGCTTGATATAAGAAAATCTTATATTAAGTGTTTAAATTTTAAATACCCAAAATATGGTATTTTATTAGTGCAAAAAGGTCACACAATAATTGGCAATTTTTTTTTCAATCATATATTTTATTTGAACTATTTTACATGGAATAAAATTATATTTATAGCCATGCTTACATCTGAACAAATATGGTTGAGTTTAAAGTGATTAATATAAAAGTTTAAGTGGAAGAAGGTCAAGCTTATTGTACCGTTGCTCAGTAATATGCACTCTAACCTTAATTTTCTTTCCAGATTTTAGTTATGCTGTATAAGTAGATATCTTAAATATACTTCTGAAAAATCCTCGATATAACCATTATCTTTTTTTTTTCATTTCCAATACTGATTGGTCTCAAATTTTGAACTGCATGGTGTACTAAATTTGCTTGAATCTTATTTATTTTCAATTCCAACTTATGTTAGAATGTTATCATAATTAGTGAAAAACTCAATTTAAAGTAAGCTCAGAGCCAGTGCCCATTTCTCTCTATCCTGCCTTCGTTTATGTGTATTGTTGTTGGCATATTCTGGTTTGTAAAGATATGGAAATGTTCTAGTGATATGGCTATATACTTCAAATCTATCTAAATAATGTGTAATTTCGCCAAAGGCAGCCAAATTCCCTTGTATATTGTTTCTTTTGCCTAATTCTATTTGTGGCCGACTGACCCCCCTAAGTCGATTTACAGGCTCATTTTAATCGACTCATTGTTTTATTGTGGAATCAGGCAAGCACAATAACCTTAGTATAAGAAAAACATCATGAGAAAAGGACGTGTATTTGACCAAGGGGATTTGAATTCTATCTTTGGATCTCTCAGAGGTTACCAGTACATATATTAACATTGTATTGTAAAATAGAGTCGGAACCTAGGTTATCTGATTTGATGAGCCCATTTGCAAAGTTCAAGTTATACTAATATGCAATACGGAGATGAATTGAGATAATTCGACAAAGTATGGATGACACTTTCAATAGCGTACAATGGAGGCCTAATGGCTACACTATATGTGAACAAAGTATAAAATTTCCTTATTTGTCGATATTGAGATCATGGTGTGTTTTAATGTTTATATTTACATAATTACCTGCATAAAATATAGTTCAAAATTTCCTTTTATTGTACTTTCATATAACAAAAAAATTAAAAGGACTAAATAAAACAAAAAAAAAAAAAAACACACACACACACACAAAAAAAAAAAATGATAAAAAATAAAATTTGAGCTGAAAAATCTAGAAATTCTCTTGAACACTTCACTTTTATAATTACAATAACTCTTTAAAAAATATAATAAATATCAAAATGTTCGTTTTACAAGCAGATGATAAACTTACCGTCATTGTGTGTGTCGTCTGCTGTTGGTTCCTGCGCAGGTGCAATGCGATGAATCAGTGATGTCATTTTCAGATTGCCGTTCCTTTATATGCCAGCTGTCAGTCTCAGCAGCCACGCCGTCACTTGTAGCAAAGAGGTGGGATTGCTAAAGGGCGAAATTCGATTTTTATGGATTTGACAATTTGAATCAACACGAGGGATTTCTAATGGATGTAAATCATTAAACGTTTCATAATTCGTTACATCTCTTGATGAAATAGTCTCATGGGCGATGAGCGAAAATCATGCTCTTTCTATCTCCATATTGATTTGAAGGAGGATAAATTTCGGATTTGTTAGCTAAAGGTGTCATGGGGAGCAAAATTGCAATATTGTAAACTTGAAACCTCGTTAATTCCATGCCCCTCTTGATCGTAAATCACTGGAAACCGATTTTTGTTTCCCGTTGAACATGTTGAATAGTATCTAGTATAAGAATTTTTAAAAAATAAACATTGAAAAAGTATTTTATGTCAAGTTTATTTTAATCACCCATGATCTCATCAAAAGGATGAAAGGAGTGATATTAATTTTATAATTTAATCAGAAATGTACAGTGTCCAAAGTTAGTGTACACACATATGTATACGCATGGAAAAAGTTCCAATTATGGAAGGTCTGAGGCTGCAAGTTGTTTCCTAGTGCATTATCAAAATCTAAAAACAAAACAAACCAAACAACAAACAGAAATATGCTAAATTATAATTTTTGGAGTTGGGAATCATTAACAGGATTATACCATTGATATCATAAATAAAAAATTGCAAAAATTTAATTTCACCTGGAAAAAAAAGAAACTGAATCTCCAATGATGACAAAAATACTCTATTACATTGTGGCAGGTCACAAACTATCAGTCATCTGAAATAGAGTCCTTTTCATCAATGAACGAAGCATTTGATAATTCTAATGTTTAAAGAAAATTTATAAAACTGTCACTACTTAGGAATAATTATAAAACTAACATTTTTATAAACCACACACAATATTTTTAATCTCATGATTGTTCGCTAAATTCGTTGTTGTTGAGTTGTCTGGCTCTCTATTGGGTTTTAGATTGTTGTTAATTTGGGCCATAAAAACTAAATTATATATCCCGTTGAGCTTTGGTGATTCCCAACAGCAAAATTTAATAGTGAGAGCATGTATAAATGTGAACAACAAAGCTCATAGCTGGATATAGTATTATCCACTCTGGCTATATCAATAATCACATGGTTGAAATAGAAGTTATCAATTGGAATAAGCCTCTCATAGAATGAATACATGAATGCATCGAACACTATTAGTGGTACTTGGTCAAGGAAACTCAAAATTAAAAACCAATAAACAAAACAAGATGTGTTTGTGAAACATTCCCCCCAAAATGGCAACTTATAGCGAAGGATAAACTTTCTCAAACGCAAATCAAATATGTTGGTGTCTTGTCTCGAGGATTTACCTGTGAAATATGAAAGCCCTAGCAGCAACCATTGAAAAGATATGGAAAAGGTGAATGTTTTTCAAAAGTAAGTCAAACATCAAGGTCAAATGGTCAAAATTAATGGTGCCGAAGGAAAAGCCTTCTCAAAAGAACTACACATGTGAAATATGAAAGCCCTTGCACCAACCGTTCAAAAGTTGTGGCCAAGGTTAAAGTTTTTCAAAAGAAGGTCAAACTCCAAGGTCAAAGGGTCAAAGTTGTTGGTATCCAAAGGAAGGTCTTATCACAAGGATTACACATGTGATGTATGAAAGCCCTAGCGCCAATTGTTCAACGGTTATGACCAAGGTTAAAGTTGGGTAAAATTTTGCAAAACTGGTCAACGTCAAGGTCAAATACGATGGTACCCAAAGAAAAGTATATATAATATACAGGAATTCTGTAACCACTACTTACTACACCTGGTTTACCCGGAGAATGCATAAAAATTCATTATTCGTTATTATAGGGGATACATTAATTCTGATATTATGAGCTGTGTGGCACTCCTATTCAGACAAAGGACCTTCTAAAACAAATAAAATATAGAGGAAACGTGTGAAAGGATTCAGGAAGTTATTAAACTTTTTTTCTGATAAACAATTTAGCGAAAGCAAAAGAGCTGCACGACCATCAGTATATGTTACGCGTCAGACTATAAGAGATATTGCTTGGATATTTGACGTTGGGGTAGCAACAATTTATTAAGTTGAAAGAACTTGTATCCAATCCTAGCTTTTGAATTGGGTATATTATACAATAAAATATGTTCAAATCAACATACAAGTTTATAAAGGGGCCTTAAAAATGGAGAGAATTTGTGCCTTTTTGGTTCCTAGAACTTTCTCAAGTGAAAAAAGAAACGGTTGACGTTTTCTCATGTCAATGCGAAAAAACAATGACTTTGAGATTACAGAGTGGACATATGCAAGTTTTGAATTTTACAGGTATTTATCTAATGATGCTACCAACAAGATATTTCTCCTATCAGTATTTTTTGTTCTAGATAAAATTCTGGTGTACTTTCATAAATTTACCTCTTTCCTCTTTGTAGTTAAAGTAAATGTCTCAATAATTTCCAAATTACCAGTATACTCGGTAAACAACATAGTTCATATGCCAGATAAGATCAGTGTTTAAAAAATTGCAACAAACGAGGTAGTAATCATTTCCTTTGAAATTTTGAAATTGTAGTTTTTCATATACAGTCAAACCTTTTATCTTCAACTCGATATAGATTCGCGGAAAAAAATACGTCATATCCAAAGATTTGAGATACTGAAGTTAATTAAAATACATAAAGAAAGTGATTGGGACTTCGAAATCACTTCGAAATATCAATAGTATTCGAGATGTCATTTTTCGATATACCGAAGTTCAACACTATTCTGTGAGTTTATTATATCTACAGCACCATAATAAAAAAAAAAATCAAATGAATGCAAATAAATAAAAATTCAACGCTACTTTTTCCCTAATAAAACGAACATTTATATAATGGTTTCAGTGGGATTCGAATAGAATATAAAGTGAATGTTTGAGTAGCTGCTTTTTTAAAACGATTATGCTTTTAACTCCTTACTTAAATCGTACTGTATATAGTATAACAGAGGAGTTAATTAAAGCAAATGGTACCTCACAGAAATACTCAGCAAAGCAGATTCTTTGCAAATGAAAAAAAAAATTAATTGCAGAATTCGCTGTTGATCGAAACAATTTTGCTGAAATGCTTTCTGTATGCGAGACACTAAAAATACTTGATGATTTATTGGTTTACAAATGTTCCTTTGGGATATTTTCACAATCCTAGAATTTATTGCCTTTCTTCTAATAACGCAGAATGACAATTTTATTTTCACAAAAACAAATCATTTATTTTTTTAAATTCCGAGAAAGGACGTCTGAAAATTTTAAGGAGGATTTTATAATGAAAACAATTGTTAATATAACACGCTTTTTGTCCCCCGTTTACACTGAAAGTGGGGGATATTAATTTGGGTCTGTCTGTCCGTCCGTCCGTCCGCCTGTATTTCTGTCTGTCTGTAACACTTTCGTTTCCGCGCGATATCTCGAGAACCCTTTAAGCTTTCGCAATGAAATTTTGCATAGCAACTCCCTATGGCCTAAAGAAGAATCCTATTGATTTTGAGGTCAAAAGGTCAAAGGTCAAGGTAATAAATTCTGTCTGTTTTAACACTTTCGTTTCCGCGCGATATCTCGAGAATCCTTTGAGCTTTTGCAATGAAATTTTACACAGCAACTCCCTATGGCCTACTGAAGACCCCTATTGATTTTGAGGTCAAAAGGTCAAAGTTCAAGGTCGTAAATTTATACATTTCATCTGTGTGTAACACTTTCGTTTCCGGGCGATATCTCAAGAAGCTTTTGAGCTTTTGCAATGAAATTTTATACCATAACTCCCTAGGGCCTCTCTCACCCCTCTCAAAGTGTCCCGCCCCGGTTTTTTTTTTTTTTTATTATTTATTGTATTAAAAGTCGCTTGGCACTATTTTTAGCACTGGGGCATGTGGAGAGTTATTACGTATAATACAGGTTGTCGGCGGACTTAATATTCTTATTACATCTATTAGAACTGTTTAGTAAAGGCTAAATTAGACACCATGTATTGTGTAAAATTTTGATAATATCGAACATGAATATAAACATTACATGTGACCTAATGTTTGCATTTAATTTGCTATACAATCAAGTGCCTCTGTGGTCTAGGGCTATGACTCACGCTTAATATGTGAGAGGTACCGGGTTCAAATCTCGCTCGATCCTTTTTTTTTTTTTTTTTTTTTTGAATTTTTTTTTTGATTTACTAAATGATAGTATTCAGCATGTGAAATGAAAAAGTTATTACGTCTGGCTTGTACAAACTCATAAAATCATCAGTACAGTGTGATAAATATTCTATATAAAAAGAATCTTCTAAACACATATTAAAGAATAAGCAATCAAATCTTTATATCCATATTCATTTGGCATTTTTATTTGCTTCAGTATATATGTATACATTTAATAATTCTACAAATCCAGGGGGGAGGGGGGTCCGACACCCCTCCCCCGAACTGCGCATGCTTTTCTTTTTTCCTAAGCGGGGGACACAAATTCTCTGAATTAGCTTGTTAAAGTTGACATTAATTTTTAGTGAGTATTTCCCCCTTATAAGACAGAAAACGTGGTACTTCCAATCTTTATGACAAACTTTGGGTTTTGTCTCCCAGAACAGTTGAATACTAAAAAAAACATTTCTCTAAAACAGAGTTCTAATCTTTCTGGAGTGGGCTTCAAGGGCGTCATATATATGCAAAGTTAAAATAGTTATTTAGAAAAATAGTTGTTTTCTGAAGGCCATAAAAAGTTTTTAGTCGGGGCGTTTTTTGTCAGTCGGTCGGGAGAGGGCAAACAATCAATTTTTTGAAGATGATCTAATACAAAATGCTGTGTGCTTTGTACTCCTATTTTTATGAACTTTCTTAAAATTCGGTCAAAGGATTCACTAATTCCAGTCAACAGCCTGGTTGTTGTTAACGAATACTATTTACATGTAGAAGTTCAGAAATACTTCCAAATACGTTGCGATAATTTCTCTAGGGAAATAAATATTTACTACTTGCCCATTTATTATTCCTATGTTTGT